TTATTTTTGAAAATTTAAATTAAAGATAAAAAATTCAAAGTTATAAAATTTAATAACTGAATTGATAAATGTTATGAAGAATGTTAAACTGAAAGGTGCACTGCTAATTTTGTTTAAACATTTGTTTAAACATTTTATTATAAAATAATCTGTTTTTATCCTTTCTTTTAAGGATAATATCATTAAACATATAAATCATTCTTAAATGTTTAATTATTGAGAGAGAATTATACGCAATACACATCTATTATAACATTTTATAGTTTTACTGTACTATCCCAAGCATCACATGTTTTATCAACAAAAGCTTACTTTTAGCCCCTCACCTTATCAAATTTGAAGGTTTTAATCCATTACCTTATATCATAACACTTTAAACCCCTTATCTTACTAGATCTGTAGATTTTAGTGTATCACCTTATATTATGACACTTTTAACCTCTCATTTATTAAAATTGAAGAAAATAGCTCTCACTTTGTAACATTTTGTTAGTTCCATTAGCTGATTGTTAACTTTATTAACTGACTATTAGTTGACTATTAACTGACAAAAACTTTTTTTTAACTAACAGAGTTAACAGAACTACGAGTATGTTTTGGTTACCTTGTAAGAGCTTCTACTTTTTTTGCACTGTTGATGAGTGATAAGTTTAATTTTTTATTAGATGAGAAATTTAAAAGTTACTTTTAGATATAGAAAAAAGTAAATAAAAAGTAAGTAAAAAAGAAGTTTGTGAAAAATAAAAGTTTGAAACTTTTGAGTTTTTACTGTTTATGGTCTTTTTAAAATTAAAAATAAAAATAAAAATAAAAATGTGTGTTTTTAAGAGGAAAATTTAAACTTATGAAACATGAATAGTGTCAAAAAGCTGAAACTCTTACAAGCTAACCTAAACATGGCCTAACTTTATAATATTTCATTCATTATTTTAATTAATTATTAGTTGACTATTAGTTAACAAAAACTTACTTTTAGCTAACAGAGTTAACAGTTAGTATAAAATAAGAGTTATTTTCTTCGATTTTAATAGCTGAGGGGTTAAAACCTACAAATCTAGTAAGATGATGGTTTAAAAATGTTATTGTATAAGGTAAGGGGCTAAAAGCTTTAAACTTGATAAGGTGAGGGACTAAAAGTAAGTTTTTGCCTGTTTTATCATCCGCCTTGTGCAAATGTTGTTTATCCGAGTAAAATATATATTTAGTCCTTCACTTTAATAAATTTAAAATTTAAAATTTTATATTTTATATTATAAACCTTTTAGTCCCTGAAATTAAAAGTTTCAAGATTTTATCTTTTAAACTAACGGAATCCATTAAACTGAGAATAAAATATTTATAAAATTAATCCTCAAAAATTAAAAATATAACAATTTAGTTCAAAAAGTTTAAAACTTAAAAAATTAGTAAATTAAAAATAATGAGTACATAATTTTGCCACACACACGAGAATAGTATTAAGTATCTGCAATCAAATTAAGTGATTAACTTAATCTAAAAAAAGGAATTTGACTGAGATTTAAAAAAAAATTTAACTGTATGCTTTTAATCTCTTGAACTTTTTCTGTCTTAATTCAACTATAAAATCTTCTTTAGTTTCAATTAAAATTTTTTCTTTAAATTGAACTAATCACTCAATTTGATTAAAAATATTTAATACTAATCTAATGCGTGTGAGAAAGTTATCCATTAATTTTTTTTCAAGTTTACTAATTTTTTTTAATTTTTAAATTTTTAGAACTAAATTATTACATTTTTAACCTTTAAAGACTAATTTTGTAAATATTTTATTCTCAAAAAAGTTAATAAATTGTATTAGTTTAGGAGATAAAATATTCAAATCGTTACATTTAAGGGTTAAAAACTTCATAATACAAGTAGAGTAACTAAAAATTTTAAAATTAATAAAATGGCTAAACATATACTTTAGCCCTTGTTTATCCTTATTCTTTAATGATTAATCATTACAATATAATTTCCTAAATGTTAAACAATTCTAGAACAAATATAATTGTTCAAAACATAACAAACACCGGTTCAGAGGGAAGAGAAAATGGGAACACCAGGCAATGTGGTCCCAGCATCAACAACGAAAATGTTCCCTGAGACATATGCTGAAGAATCATGGATTAGGTATCGGATAAGGGAAGTTAAGGCTGGATCAGTAGTGCCCAAACTCCTTAGAGGAGCAACTTTCGCAATAAAGTTACTTAGTCCCTGTTTCTTAAACATACATTTTGTAATCTCCGATCTGAAAACCCTTGGTGCCATTGCGTTCACTCTAATGTTATGTGCACCCAACTCCAAGGCCAACACCTGAATATAAATTTTGCCATTAATTAATATTCCTAGTTTCCATTCTAGCTCCAGTATCTTTGGAATATTTAGGTTCGATAGAAACTAAAGCATAGAAGAGTATGGAGAAAAACATTGCTTTTTTGATTCACACAATATGTACAATACACTGTATATAGGCATATACAACTAAGTTAAAAACTAAAGTAAAGAAAAGTATAGAGAAAAGCAATATTTTATTAGTGATACTGTTTGTATAAAATTATACAAAGAGAATAGTCTAATTATAAAATATAAGAATAATGAATCACTTTGAATTTTTTTTTGATAAAAAGATAAAGTATAAGAATAAAATATTTACCATAATTAAATATACAGTGTAAATGGAATTTAAATAATAATAGTCTAGTTACTAAAAACTTGATTAATAATTTAATTAAATTAAACGTATTTTTTGCAGAACTAGAATTTTATTTAAAACTCAAATGTATTTTATCCTAAAAACTTGATTAGCAATTTAATTACTAATCAAATCGATCAATTGAATGGACCACAACAAAATTTTCTGATTTGATGAGAAACTTTAAAATTTTAAATTATTTAAATTTATGCATTACCTTAGTCATCGCGCGTAGAGCTGCCTTTGAAGAAGCATACGCAAGGACCCCAAATGCTTGCACACGGTCAAGTCCAGCAATTGAAGAAATATTGATTAATGACCCTCCACGTTTGGCATCACGCACACGCATGCAGACATACTTTGATACCAGCCACGACCCTCTTAGATTAGTATTTATAACTTGATTCCACTCCTCCTCCGACAAAGCCAAGGCAGAATTCGTGCCGCCTCTAATATACCAGCATTGTTAACCAAAGCATCAATTCTCCCATATGCCTCCCAAGCCTGCTGCACGGCCTTCTCAATTGTGGCCCCTGCTGCCGAGCCGTCAAGCTCCACCGCTATGGCTACAGGACCATTGGAAGAGTGAGGGGTGAGGCGATTGATGTCATCACAGAGTGACTTCAGATGGTCCACTCGACGAGCGGCTGCGATTATCCTGCCGCCGGCTTTGGCCAAGTCGAGACAGAATTCCCGGCCTAGGCCAGGGGATGCCTCTGTCACCATGATCACCTTGGCACTGAGATTGCTCCATGGCTCCATGTTGCTTCTTTCACCTACTTGTTTAGAAGAAAATGATCATGTGAAATTGTGAATAAGAAAAACTAACTAATTGATCACCTTCCTATTTTAGGATTATTAGATTGGTTTACATGTGGACTTTTGTGGTCTGTTTTTTTTTTTTTTGGAATTTGTTGGTTTTTTTATTTATTGTTATTGTATTTTTAATTAATTTTTATTTTTTTAAGACTAATTTTTTTAATAACTTTAAAAACACACATTTTGTATCAATTTAATACATTTAAAAAAAAATGATGTGTAACAACTTTAAAAACACACATTTTGTATCAATTTAATACATTTAAAAAAAAATGATGTGTAACACCCGGGTGTGCACACATCATATAAAAAAAATATATGCCCATCACTCGGTCCA